TCATGTTATTCATTGCTGTCTCCACTGGTTGACCAGTGACAGGATCCGTTGTCAACTGATATGGTGTGGCAATAAACTGTACAATCACTGTTCGATGACCTCCAGTTCTGTAGTCTTGAACGGCATTGATATTAAATTTAAACTCACTGCTACCATCCGGCAGTTTCTGTGGATTTTTGTTGGTATAAACCTTTGGAGTTTTATCTTTCACCTCAGAACTATGAAGAAGAAAAAAGACATTGTATTTTTTAGCTTTCATAACTTGGAAATTGTTTAAAATTTACACAGATTATCATTACATGATGTACAAATTGTAAGAACTATATTTCTATGCAAAGTTTATGTATGATTTTCTTCTGAGTTCATTTGAGTTATGTTAAGAACCGACATCACATCACAGCATTAGAGAATTCCTATAATGCTCCTTCCCCATATACAGCAGCTAGAGCAGAATGTTTTTCTAAAGGTAGCAATAACAGTCTAATATGTTTGTCTGGCTTTTTCTGAGGTTCGAAGGTCAACCAGATTCCCAGGTCACTTCCTGTCACCTGCACCATTCTCTCCATCCAGACTGAAAAGATAAATTTGGGTTGTTCCCAGAAGGTCTAGACCACATCTACCTTGTCATGCGTCAATGCATCATCAAGTGATGTAGAACCAGCAAACTATCTGCCTCTTCAATTTTCCAAAACATCCTCATTCCCCAGAGAGAATATCCTCAGGACACTAACTACTCACAACTACTTATAAAGTTATGCTTGTCACTATGCTTGAAGCAGGCTTTGTGAGTCGGTCACAATCACAACATACATGTGCAGCTGGTTCTCAAGCCAGCAAAAAGACTACCTCCACCTCAACTCTCAAACTAGATGTGGCATTATATTCTTGGCTCTGTTATTTTTTTTTAAAATCATCTCTCTGACCCCCCCCCCCCCCCCCCCCTCCCCTTAGTCCATACATGGTAGGTCCTCTATTTTCTTTTTTAGCTCTGTCTCTATTGTTTAATTTGTCCAGTACAGATCCTTCTGTTTTAATGTTTTAGATTTATTGTATCATAGTGTGAAAAATGACTATCCTATAATAAGCAAATGCATCTGGTTAACTCTTTGAGTCCCAAGGAACGTATCATATGTGCATAGGTTCCTAACTAGAAGCCAAATGAGAGCAAGATGCACCGATTTTGCGCCTCTTTTGACCACCCCTTGGGCCTCTGATGCTAAACCACCTGGGACTCAAAGAGTTAACTTGTATCCTCTATTGTCTTTTAAGCTCTGTCTCTGGTGTTTAATTTATCTAGCACAGATCTTTCTGTTTTCATGTATTTTAGAACTATTGTATCATAGTGTGGATAAAACTATCCAATATTAGGCAAATGTAGTCAATTAACTTTTGTACTTCATATAAATGTTAGCAATTTGTAGTATAAATCAACTGCTAACTCTATTTCCACCAGCACTACTTATGTACATAATATGTAACAGGCAACTTTTGCAGTTTCACATCTTGCTGCCAAGTTACATATGCTAATGTTATGCAGCGTATGCAGGCATATCTTACATAGAACATCAAACCAAAATATATATTTCAGCTGGTATGAAAAGTATTGAAAACATTTTGTCAGTCTTCATTTAATTAATCTGAATTTTCGACACATCTGGCTTATCCACACATTACCGTTTTACTACAAACATAAATTTGTATGAATTTCACTATATAAAGCTTACATTTGCACAAATCCCCAATCCTTTCCTTACCTTGCTGTAGAGCTGTCATTTTTAGCCTGTGCGGTCATTTTCAAGGTAATATGTCTGCTACCAGTGCCACCAGCAACTATTTTTAGTGAAACCACCAAGGACAAGCCACTCTCAGATATATAATTCTTTTTTCCAATTTCACTTGTAATCTGTGAATGAATTTATGAAGTGCCAGAAATAAGTTTTCCACTTTTTCTTAAATTTACACAACCAGTTCAGCTGAGCCAAGAATTGACACAGAAGTACATAGGACATTCTTGTACACACTACATCCTGGTCTTCAGGAAGCAAATTGCTCTTATTCTGATGGTACCAGTTTGAATTATATGTCCATTTGGTCTGTCCTCTGGGTGCAGTTTTAGCTGGATCCTCTGTTCATTCCCCGTCGCACCATTCTCTCCATGCTGTAATTATCTCATTATGCTTCTGCATTGTTCAGTTGCCCCCAAAGAGCCTTTCTTCTAGCTTTCCATTGCATCAACATAATCCAGTGCTGCAGCACCAGCCAATATTTCTGTCATTCTGTTCATTTCCTAACACACCTACATGCTGTGGATAAACCATCTAAAGGACATTAAGTACCAGGGACCTCTGAAGCAATCAATAGAGAATGGTGAAACAGCACAAAACACAGAATAAAACATGAAATTAATATACCAAAAATGTTCTTTACACATTATATGCCATTCAATAACATTCCTAAATTGATCATTATGTTATGCCATATACACATAACATAAACTCATAGTCAATACTTCAATTCCAATTCTCTCCAGTCAATATCTTGAATGGAATCAAGTTCAGCACCTTTACCCTTCTCATCAGCATTCAGTGTAGGATTTCTCTTGAATGTCCTTGATTCAACAAATTCTTTTGGTCTACTTCATGTCTTCAATTTTTAGTTGAATATGTTACAGGTAAATATGATTAGAATTTAAGATATGTAACTTGGTTTTCAAATGGTATATTTTACTTCTATATTTCCTGTTGTGTTAAGGCTTTTAAAAGCTGCCTAACCTGTTATTGATGCTTGTAGTACAAGGCTAATCAGTTGGTGTCCCGCGAGCTAAATCTGGCCTGAGGAGGCATAGTAAGTGGCCAGGGGATCATTGCCAGTTCTATTTTATTATTGATTTGTCTATGCTTTGTCTTGGGCTTTCATCCCGTGACAATCCCCATTTTCAAAATTGTGGCACCTGAGTAAACTTAATTGAATATGTATGTTTGTCTTTTCATAACTAATTTTTAGTCTAATTTTGTATGCTACACTTTATAAATCATATGTTTTTCTTCTTAAACAACAATAATTAAAAAATAAAATATATTACAATCTGTGAGTATAACTGTTAATAGGAAGTAAAATATTTGACACAAAATAAATAAGCGGATGATGAAAGTTGTATTTGTTACATTGTGCATGTATATAATAAAAAATTTTGTTTTAAGCACTGTACATTTTTAATTTAAAAAAAAATAATTTCTAAAGTAAGTTAACTTACAGTGTAAAATAAAAATAATACAAAATTACTGTAACTCCGGTGAATAATACATTTTTCAATGATATTTGAAAGGGAAAAACATTGAGTTATGAGATTATTTTCACAGCACTCCAGACACATCCATAGGTGCTCAGATTCCCCTCTCAACATATTTATCAGCATCAAACGGTTAATAGTGTCAGTCCTATGTTGGTTAACAAGACTTTGTGTGTGTTCATTGTGCTTCTCATGCTTGGCTGTGCTGACCTTAACTCCCAATTCTCGTATTCTTAGAAGTGATGTGGACACTATAACATTATACTTGAAAAGGAAAAGTCTACAACAAATTTTCGTGTTGCAGTATGCATACTTTTTAAATAAGTTAATAATACCATTCTGAGAATGTTGTGAAATTTGAAAATAAAGCCAGAAAATTTCATGAAACTAGTTCCCATTTGACTTTTGAAAGAAGTCATCTAAAATTAGGTGTAAACACAGATTATGTAAAATAAATGGAAGAATAAATATTTCTGTAACATTAAAAACTATTGTATGTATTACCTGTAAAACAAAATTTTCATTGCAGAATGCGCCGTCCAGCCATGAGGAATTATAGCTGCAGTACCATGGTAGGTTCTCTGTGATACAGTTGGCTGCTTTCTGTTTGTCGCTGTGTTACATAAAAAAATATTTGTCTGCAATCACAACTGAGCAAATAGCAGAAGCTTGTAATGTACTTTCAAAGGAAAATATGCTGGTATATTCATCATATTTCTGACCCAAATTTCAAAATACTTGCACAATTATATCTTTTAGAAATGAGGCAATCAACTTTACACATACAAGTTATTCAAACACATTGTTTGTTATTTAAAATAAATGGCAGATATTTATTTGCAAGATTTTTTTTCATTTTAAACTCACAAAGATTACCTAGAAGAAAGCTGGCATTTTTTAAGGCTGGCACCAAAAGTCAAGTAACCATCATTTTGTTTCTTCCAGTCAAGTTTGTTTTATCCCAGTTATAATTTTTAAGTATTTCTTTATTATCTTGAGAACATCAATTCAGTTCTGACACAATTTGGAAATGACGGATCAATACACTTTAACAATTTATGACAACTGAAAGACAGAAAAGGTACAGATTAAACATGGCAGTGTCACCTCTTAGTTCTGTCACTAAACTGCTCTAAATTTAAACCGCTTTAAATTTATGTAAACTGCTCTGGATGGTTCTAAATCTGCCACAGTCAATCACCTCACATAAAAAGAAGAAACAGACATTATATTTAGACTGCATACTGGACACAGCAGAGTCTGCAGTCATATGTACAAGATATTCAAGATTATGGATTCATGTGGACAGGCACTACAGAATATGAACATGTGAAACAGATATGCTCACTACACGCAATAGAGAGATTCCCGGTTTGGCATGTTGGCATTCCAATGGAAGCCAAGCTGTATGGAAGATGTGTTGCATCACAAACTTTATAGAGGCCTGTGGCCTTCTCATCTGAAAACCACTGACAGCAAAAATGAAAAGAAAAAGATTAGGAGTGTCCCACAAAGCACAAACTCTGTAGATCCAGCAATGTTCCACAAGATAGTTATAAAAACTGCACTCATAAACAGAATGATGCAGTTCTTGAACTGAGCCTATAACTTTCACAGCATGAGGCCAGCGGCTTAACCATTTTGCCACAGAGACATCTAACTGTTGACCACTGACAATATTCATCTGAAACTAAATGAAAAATGTACTTACGCACAACTTAAAGCTGAGAACACTCCAATCTTCTTGATACATTCCTGAACATTTACTGCTGCCACATCACAAGCGATTTTCTCATTAGCACATTTCTGTTTGTATGCCATTGCTGTTTTAAAATTAAACATGTGAACAAAATTAGATGAGAGTTAGTACTAAATACTGAAGTTATCAATAATTTTTTAAGTAAAATGTAGCACTGAAAAACATGATTTTAATTCATTTAGTCGCAAGAAACTCACCATACATTAACTGGTAAATCCTTGCATGATATTCTTTTCATAACTGTGGTATACCATTTGACTCTAACCTAATTGTTACCATAATTCTTTAAGTTCAAAAGTGTTATTATTTGAACTTCTTTAGACCCCACAATTATTTTTTTTTAAAGTAACAACTCCTTTGGGTAGAATGAGTTTCCAGGAAAGCTATCTCGAGCAACAATGCCTGCAGAAGTCAGATGTGTTGGCCAAAAGTGCAAATATTGCAGCCATGTTGTAAACGGACACAGTACATTTATGTTCTTGGATGAACACAGAAGAAGACAAAGAGTTTAAGGAATAACTCCTAAGTACTAAAAAGGTTAAAAATAAAAAAAATAAAAACTGAATCTATTTCAGTAATATAGTTCTTTGATTGTGAGTTTTTTTGGTTTTTGTTTTAAATTCTTCCATAACTTGAAATCTCAGATTTCAAAGAAAATCCTATTAACAATGTACCATTTAAAAAAAAAAATTCAGTTTGTAAGTTGACATACTACTGTACATTATATTAACTAATTTTTTATTGACTGAAAAATATGAATATTAAATATGACGTTCAATGGTTATTTCAAATACTGCATAGTTTTTAACACTCTTTCTCTCTTCTCTAACTCTCGCTCTCTCATTCTCTCTTTCTCTCTCTCTTTCTCTCTTTCTCTCTCTCCCTCTCTCTCTGTTTCTCTCTCTCACACACAATTACTAGGTAGTCATTACCTGATAGTAGTAAATCATTGGCTTAGAAGCTATAACTGTTGGACTTGAAGAATTTATATAATTTTTTGTTTTGTTTAGTATAGAAATAAATTCTTGAAATGGACAGTTTTTAATTATAGCTTCCTGGGGTTAACATAGTGGACCACTGAAACTTTACATCTATTCAATTGTTACTTTCTTCAAAAAGGACCTTTTTCAAACTCATAAAAGCATCGAGCACATGGACTGGCACTTGGTGGATCATATGGTATGCATCATACAAGCCACTTTCACTTCCTAGCATATTTCCTGGTAGCTATGAGCCAGGTTTAACTTGTTAATATTTGGAAATAAGCAGATTCAAATCTACAACATTAGTGCCAGCGGGAATGTGTGTAGAAACTGAGCTACCAAAGTTGCCATAAAAATTAATTAGCAAAATCAGACAATATATTACCTCTTGAAATTCAATTCTACTTTTCCTATGTGGGTTCCAGGGCCACATTGTTGGGGGAACAGACAGAATAGAGCCACTGTGCTCATAACAAGTATGTCGTAAGAGTTAATTATGGGATTCTTTCAGTCATAGTGCATCTGCATAAGAGGTAAGGAGCCAACAATCTGCATACAGATGTGTAAAACAGATGTGCTTTCAACACTCAAGTTATGGAAGAAGACTAAAGTCCAGGAGTGGACGAACAACCAGAATTTTCCGCTGGATATTACATTTGATGAATGAGAAGAAGGAGAAGAATTCTACTAAACAAAGAATCTTATCACAGGATTACAGTGAAGACGTTGTACCACTATCCAATTTTTAAATATATATCAGAGAATTTCTAAAAAAGTTTGAATAAACAACTAAATGTGAATGTATTAAAGCAAATTTTTAGAAAGCAGATGTTACATGACAAACTTACAATTAGTGATTGCATCAAAAAGAGCAACATTGCAATCATTTGCTTTCTTTTCACGCAGTATGTATTGGCTTTTTCTGAAAAAAAGAAATATTTCATATAATGTTTTGTTTCATTTATTTATGCTAAAAACTGTCTACATTATCACGCTATTATCATGTTTTGACTCTCAGTTTCTGCGTATGAAGAGAGTTTTAGGACAAATTCTAGTATGTGTTTAACAAACTAAAATGTTTATCACCACCCCTATACCCTCTGTTCTTAATTTGTGGAGGATGGCATTTTTCTTCTTGTTCTCTTCATTGTACTTAATTATATAGTATTATTATGGCATGCCCCTGTGTTCTTTTAAGTGAATTCTGCAGTCACATTTCACTTCCAACTATTTTAATAAGCTAGCTATCATAAGCTATAGAATTAAGTCAGCCTTGTGTTTTGAAGGTTGTGGGCTTGTTGCCAGAATGTGCCATTTGGTTCACAATTGCAGCAGTTGTACAGAGCTATATAGTTTGTGCTTTGTGTGTTTCTCTGAGCAGTGGCTAGCCACTTTGCAGCAGATGAACTGTAAGGGATAAAATGAGGTCAATTTTCTCACCTTTCAACTTTTTCACATGCATACTAATGCTTAAGACTCAGCCAGGGAAGAGCAATAAATGCAAGGACAGTTCAGAGTACATTACTCTCAGTGATGCTTCTATAGATCAGTTGATCAATCAATTGGTCTTTTCCCTCCAGGCTGCTACCTGAAGGTTTAACAGAGATTTAAAAAAACAACTGCAATCTGGGAGGCAAGCCAACAGGGCAAACCCGACAGTAATGGCTATATCAGTCTAGTGTAACCTGCAGCTCTCTGCAGGTAAGGACCAGCTTTTAAAGAAGACACCTGCATTTCATATACTGTTTACTGTTTAGTGATGTGATCAAGTTCATATCAACAGAAAAGATATAAGAGAAAAATTAACTTACTAGTCAAAAGAGGTAAATTAAGACAGAGAAAGATATGGTTAGGAAGCTCAAACAGCTTGGCAATTATAAATGATACTGGCTACATCAACTTCAGCAAAATAGAAAAAGGCAAATCGCACTTATTGCCATGATCATTAAAGCGGGGTGAAAAAGAAAGACTAAGAAGAAATATATGAAAATATACTGAGAATGCCCAATGTGCAATGAAGTTGATTTTGATAAGATAACATGTATGAAATTACATAATCCCGAGTGTGGGTTCTGGGACTTCATTTTGGAGTGGGGGTGGGGTGGATAGAGGATGAACAGACCTTATATCCTTAACAAGTATGCCAAAAAAGCCAGCTAGAGAGAGCTTGCTGAAATCACATGTTGGGCCAAAAGGTGCAAATATCAAAGTCTAGCTGAAAACCTCAGCCCTATTTGCCAACTGCAATTTTAAGAGGTGAATGCAGAAGGTGAAAGAAAAGAGAAGAAAGAGGAAGAAGAGAAGTAAAACCCAGACCTGTCTGATGTTGTTTTATGTAAATGGATGTGCTGTAATATGTTTTGTTTTTTTTGTGTTTGATTTTTTTTTAAGAAATGCAAAAATAGAATAAATTGGAAAAAAAATTGGTTAGCTGAGTAACCACAGCTAGGAATAAGCTTTACTGTCATTTCAGGCTATAGATTTCCCATGCATAGTTATTTAAAAGCTAATGTACATGATTACATCTGAATGAAAAACTAACAGAAACTTAGTAGCATCATAAAACACATTTATATGAGCATTTCTGAATTATTCTTACGCGCAGAACGCAATATCTGAAAAGTTTGTGTTCAGAATCAGCTCTTCAATTAGAACGGTCAGTTTGTTGACAAGTGCCAGATTTGTGCATGTGCTATTAACTGTGGCTGAAAGGAAAAGATATAACAAAACATTGTTACTTATAATTAGCATTCTGTAGGATATGATGTGGAATGTAGTGTAACATAATAATCGTGTCTGTTAATTTTAACATTATCAGTCATGAAACACAAAGCATAGTGAAAGTTTGGAAGGTAGGTGATCTGCTGAAGAAAAATCATCAAATTCAACCAGCATTCTCAAAGGGGAAGCTTAAGGCTATAATTGTGACTAGGTTATTAGCGCCATATAAAATGGCTTAGCACTGCATGCATTAAGAGCCCTGAAAAGGAGACATGCCCTAATGCTATCCTGATCGGCAACAAAGTTGTCAATCGGTGAGCCAATGGGCGAATGGGCCAATTAAGAGAAAGTTTAGATAATATATCATCGTTATCATTTAAATGTGTTTTTTTTAAGTCAAAGAAAGCTCACAGACCATTCCCTAATTTGTTTAATATTATAAAATCTTGTTAATATCATGGATGGAATTCAGCCCATCATCTTTTGCCCTTGTCATTAACATTTTCTGCAGGGTTTCTCTTCAACATTCTTGTTTCCTCAAAACATTTATAATGTATATAGTTCAGTAAAAACTCTACATTTGAACCTTTAAGTTACCTCATCAAATAATGTGACACTTCTAAGCTATGTTAACATTAAATGTATAGTTAACAATGATTTTACAAAGACTACACTTTGACATGCATGTGTCTACATTAGATTAGCATAGTTACAAAATAAATATTTCAGGACAGAAAGGAGTCATTAAAACTGCATAAAAATAACATTTAATTCTTGTTTCTTTTCCTTTTTGTGGGGGTTTGCTCTTAAAAGGAGTTGCCGGCACTCTGTGTTCTGATTTACAGTTTGGTATAGATACTTGTGCCTTTCGGCCTAACAAATTTTTTTTTTTCAAACCTCTAATTAGTTGCCTTTTATGATATGCTTGTTAAGAGGTAGTGTGCTGATTCTTTGCTTCCCCTAACATGGGACTCTGGAACTCACGTAGAAAAAAATAATTTTTAAACTATTCCAAAGTTGTAAAAACTCATAAATTCACTCAAATGTTTCAACATGATTTTGTTTTACAATTTTCTGAAAGTTCATCATACCTGAACACTGAGAGGCAGTTGTGATTGCCTTTAACTTATCAATCAGGTCCTTGCCCAGATCACGATTCATTGACTGGCCAATATTTGGGTAACTACTCAGTATGCAGGTGTATTGTGATGCAAGAAGGTCACAGTTTTGTTTGGCCTGGCTATTCTTGTAGATCCCCCTTACGGCTGCCAGGAAGGAATACAGACATGGATCGATGCTTCCGGCTTGACAGGACAGGCCTTTTGACAGGCCTAATAAAGCCAACTAAGGAAAGTAAAATAAATATTGTTATTTACTGATCAAATGTTTGTTATTATCAAGTAACCTGGGGGTTAACATGAATAATCATGGAATGAAATTTATACAGTCGCTACTATTGGATCATGTCTGTGCTCTTTTCCCATTTATTTATCCAGGCATTTATCTCATTATCTTAACATAACATAACAAATAACATTTGCCATTTACTAATTAATTTCTAACCATGACACGATCAATAAACTTTGATTAGAGCATCTAATTTATCCAAATAATGTATTTTTGTTTCATTTATTTCAAGGAGGAGGAGAGGAGGGAAAGAAAGAATGTATAGTGACACCAGTCTAGTGACTTCTGTTTGACTGACTGACTTCCAACATCATCAGGACAGCACGATTAGCAGCAAACACCCGGTGACACAAAATGCCATCATTTGGATGAGAATCACCAACGTGTGTCCTAAAAACCCCTGTTCAGCCCATAGGTTTTATTTAGGGCCCCTGATGACAGCCAGGGTGGGGCTTTAAAACCACAACAAAATGTGTCCTACATTGGGATGGGGATTAACTTCTGGATTCTGCTCACTGAAGAGAAAACAACTGAAAGGTGATATGATGACACATAAATTACACACACCCAATACACCCCAAGGCACTTAAATAAGTTCATGTTTTATATTTTAAATCTTTCAGTCCCAGAACATTTGACATATGTCACCTAAGTGAAATCAGTTTTTTTTTAAATATTACATTATAAGATGCAATACACCATGAAAGATTGTTAATATATCAAGAAGTTTTTATTATGTTCAGAAGAGGGACACAAACCAAAGAAAACATTGGGGGTTGCACCCTTAAGTACCCCACCCCTTACAGTTTTCTGGGACGGAGCAGAGGGGGAGAATGGCTCAAGAGGATTAAGCCTCATTTAAGCACAATAAAAAAAAAATTATTATTTTATAAAGTGCTAAATACTAAACTAAGAAAATGCTGCTTGATGCACATAAATAGTTAACTGGTCACACATGATACGTTACTAGAGATGATAAGAATTGAAATATGTCACAAATATACGGAAACTGAAAGAAAGAAAGCTGAAATCAGACCTGGTCAAGAGCTGTTTAACAAATACCAACATGCAAAAGCCAAATTTCAAAGAGCCAAGCTGCAAGCTAGAAGGGCATGCTGGCAAGAAAAAAGCCAAAGTATCTAAATTTTGATAGAGACACAAGGAACATGTGGAGGCTGGTAAAACAAATTAATGACATGGGAAAGGCAAATACTACAATATATACAGAAGGAGCATTCCTAACAAGAAAACAGGCTGCCAGCCACTTTGCAAATTTATTTGTTGAAGACCGCAAACATTGATGTCAGTCCAGAGAAACAGAGAGAGGCTTGGAGAGAAATGGCAATACTCAAAACAAAATGAAAAAAATCCCAAGTCAATGGAGGCACCAATTACATCTAGTGAGTTAGAGTTAGCAATATCAAAGCTGAAAATTGGAAAGTACCCTTTTATTGTTGGAAAATCAATGAAATAATCAACAAGAACCTAGGGACAACAGCCAAAACAAAACAGCTGCAGATTTTTAATAATTCTTGGGCCAGTGGCAAAGTTCCACAAATATGGAGAGAAGCAACCATGATACCTCTCCTAAAACCAGGAAAGGACAGTTCCGAGGTGTCCAGTTATAGACCAATTAGCCTTACCAGCTGTCTCTGTAAAACAATGGAACGCATGATCAAACTTAGACTTCAACTGTACTTGGAAAGTAAAAACATTTTCATGCTGCAGCTGGCAAGCTTTAGACAGTGCTATTACAACAGAAGAGCAGACAACCTACCTCTCTCAAGAAACTGAAAAAGCCTTCCAAGAAAAGAAACTAGTGCTTGGGGCATGGATAGATTTAAAGAAAGCTTTTGACAAGGTCCAGAAAGAAGGTCTTAAGAAGAAACTGAGAAACTACAAATTGAATGGGAATATGTATAGATGGGTGAAATCATACTTGTATAACAGAAGAGCCAGAGTACAGATGGATGGACTCAACACCAAGAAAGTGTTACTACACCTTGGTGTTCCCCAAGGTGGAGTCCTGTTCCCAACACTGTTTCTGGTCTATATCAACAACCTAATTGCTGAATTACCCCATAGTATTATTGCTGCATTGTATGCTGATGACTTGGTACCATGATGCACAAATACATTTGCAACAGTGGCCACTAGAGTGCTATAAAGATCCATAGATGCAATGGCTGCAGGGGCTGATAAATGGTGTGTCAGCATCAACATAGACAAGTGTAGCACCACCCTCTTCACCCTTACCACAAAATAAAAATTGGGCGTCATTCAGATAAATGGAATACCACTAAGAGAGAATAAGGAGCCCACATACTTTGGAGTAATGTTTGATGATAGGTTAACATGAAGAAAACACACCAACAAGGCAGCAACCAAAGCCAGAATAAAGACAAATACCCTAAGAAAGGTAAGTGGAACAACATGGGGTTCAAATAGGAAAATAGTTAGGAAGGGTTATCAACAAAATGTATGACCACACCTTGAACATGGGTCTACTGCATGGAGTACAGCATCAAACACCACACTACAAAAGTTAGACAAGGTGCAAAATCAAGCGCCCAGAGTCATAACAGGTGTTATGAAATCAACACCTATAGCTGTGATGGAGAAGATGGTGATGACCCAAACACTGACAGAATAAAGAGACAGTAAGATGCTAATACAAGCAGAAAAGCTTCTTAGCATGTCTGAACACCTTATGAAAAAAAGATTCTAAAATCTAGCAATGGGGTGACTAAAAAAAAGAAGCAGTTTCATCCACCAGGCCCAACGACTCTGCAGGCAAACCAATCTTCCTACAACTGAGAGCCCCATAAATGCTATTCCAGATCAGACCCCTTGAAAAAAAAGATTGATTTGATTTGATTTGATTCAAGAACCGACATCACAGCACTCAGGGCATTCCCATTAGCACTCCATCCCCATCTCAGCAGCCAGCGAAGAGTTCCGATACTAAAAGTGCCAGTAGTATTCTGATTAAACGTCCATCTTGCCTTTCCTCTGAGCCTCGAGCATCTGCCAGAACCTCTCGTCACTCCCCGCTGCATCAATATACATAGGAAAAAAGGATTATAAGTTGCCAATACACATCCAGACAAAAGTGAAAGGAGTTTTCGACAAGGAAGAACAAAACAGATGCAAAATAAAACAGTCATTTATATGATGATTAATACCCACAGAATCTTTGGGTTTGTGTCTATATGGATGGGTCAGCACAAAACGCAGGCAGAAATGAAGGAGCAGGAGTGTTTATTGAGCATCCAAATAATATCAGATAAACAGCTAAAATACCTAGAGGAAAACCCTGTCACAAATATGATGCATGAGTTCAAGCCATCAAAATAGCAGCAGATAAACTGTTTAAAATGCATCATATTTCACGACCTGTGGTATTCCTAACAGATGCAAGAGTGGTACTTCAGGCACTCCAGTCTGGAAAATTACCTGGTATACACACACTCCTCTCCAAACTAGGCAACCTGTGTAAGGTTGCTTTGCAATGGATACCATCCCACTATGAAGTTCGTGGAAATTAAAGAGCTGATAAACTAGCTAAGGAAGGTGCAAATGAAGACCAGCCTGATGTACCAGTATCTTGTCAACAGAAGAAGAGAATAATCAAATCAATTATAAAGCCACCAAAACCAGCACAAGACGATTACCATATTATGGACAGACCAGAGCAAGTTATTATTTTACGCCTCAGAACAATGCACAATTGACTTCACAGCCACATGTATACAAAATTTAAAAGCGGCGAATCAGCCATGTCACATGTGGATTGATACCTGTGACAGCAGATCATGCCCTCCTAAGACTGTCCCAAATACAAAATATGAAGGCAAACCTTTTGGCGTAGAGAAACACCGGTACAAGCCAAACTTTATGGGTTGCTGAGTGAATTACGAAAGACAGTGAAGTTCATACTAGAGACAATATTGCCGATACAGATAATCTATTTCAAGCGAAGGAAAGAAGAAGAAGAAGAAATACTTGATTATATATTCTTGCATCTTTAAATGTTTGAGATATTATAAGCAGTGAATCTGTTAAAACAATGAGTTTCTATGAAGGGTACTACCACATGCCAGTACTACTACTTTAAGTAAGGAAAACATTTTTGATATGAAAAACATTTATGTTGCTTCTTACACTTAGGATTTTCTTATTTTTGTTGTACGAAATATATATGTGTGTGTTTATATATATATATATATATATATATATATATATATATATATATATATATATATATATATATATATATATATATATATATATATATATATATATATATATATATATATATATATATATATATATATATATATATATATATATATATATATATATATATATATATATATATATATATATATATATATATATATATATATATATGACCTATGATTTGACCTGTTGAAAAATGAAATAATAAACTACGCTATTATGGCTTTCGAGAAAACTGACCATTAACCTTCTTGCCCTGAGAAAGCTGATTTCACAGATTTTGGCTGACATGTCTTTGGATGTTTTCTAATACACCTGTTTGTCCGCTTTGGGTAAAGACCAAGCAAGAAATTTGAAGAAAAAAAAATGTTCTTAAAATATGTCTGCTATTTCTAAAAAAAAATGCACTACCTTATTGTTTATAACACCCCTAGCCTGAACTTTCTGTGCTTGTGTACACGTAGTTGTATAGTTGTCCACACACGCATCAGCTGCTTGTTTGGTGCTGCAAAAATAAAGATATTACTTATACTGTTTACACTTAATGTACATATTAATAAATGTCACAGCAAGTTTAGTTACCTAAACTATTAAAAAGAAATATGTTCTTCAATGATTAACCTTCAGTAGAAACTGTTAGCTCTCTATCATAAATCTACACACAATTGCATCTTCAGCTTTGCACGTCTGTTAATCTTTCTGCTGCAAGTACAGTCTGCTTCATTGAGTATTATTAGGGTGACCATAACATATTAAACTTAGAACGTTCACATTTAGTTATTGTTCGTTATATTGTGAAGCTCGCTGATATACTTTTCGTCCGGGTTTATATCTTTCCATGAACTTAAAACTGGACATCCCACTAAAATTTGGATGTACACCCAAAACTCAGGCCCTGGCACAAAGCCAAAGTCCAAACAGACGAACAACCAGGACTTTTCCCCAGAGCTTACAGCCGGTGAATAAGGAAGAAGAAGAAAAAAAAAGAAGAAGAAGAAGAAGAAGAAGCAGAATAAGAATAAGAAGAAGAAGAAGAAGAAGAAGAAGAAGAAGAAGAAGAAGAAGAAGAAGAAGAAGAAGAAGAAGAAGAAGAAGAAGAAAATATAAAAAGAGTTCACATTATAAAACTTTCCACTTACTCGCACACTGGTATTTGTTTATTACTGAGCTGTCGTTCCATTTCAGTATCACAGCCTGCAGTCATAACAGGACAGTAAGTCTGTATACTGCAGAAGTCTTCCGTCAGGTATGGGCAAGCATTGACAAATGATGCCTTTAATTGTTTAACAGAGGCCAACATATCCTTGACATCGGGATCTTTGGCGTCACATGATGTTGTCTTTTTTGCAATGCAAACCATCATTTTCTGCATGTCCCTGTAATAAACAAACATTCTTTTATGTAAGGATAAGAAATTATGACAAGTATTGGCAGGACGAGCTTTGAAAAGCTTGAACAAAATATGGAGCTCTAAATTATAGTTTAAGAATCAAGGAATTACATAGTTTCCACTTTAATGTTATATCAGTTTCAAATTATACCAGTGAAAGCTAGAAAACCACTGAAGCATTGGAAAGAAATGTATTAATTTAAAAAAAAAAAATTATAAACATAAACTGGTATGAATTCATAAAGAGTAATAAAAAAATGAAATGTCTGGGCAACCATTAGTATCAACAGTTATAAGACAAAGAAGATGATGCTACATTAGTCTCATTCTGAGAAGAGACAAATAATCACCAAACATGCACTGAAATAGGAAATAGATGTACTGGGGAAATGTGAACACTCAAAAGAAACCCTAAGGTAAATGCTGATGAGAGAAACTAAAGGTGCTAGACCGGATTCCTTCCATGATATAGAAGTGATTACACAAGACAGAATGGAATGAAGGTCTAGACTGTGAGCCCTATGTGACATATAATGGAATGGAGGAATAGACTGTGAGCCCTATGTGACATATAATGGAATGGAGGAATAGACTGTGAGCCCTATGTGACATATAATGGAATGGAGGAATAGACTGTGAGACCTATGTGACATATAATGGAATGGAGGAATAGACTGTGAGCCCTATGTGACATATAATGGAATGAAGGAATAGACTGTGAACCCTATGTGACAAATAATGGAATGAAGGTCTAGACTGTGAGCCCTATGTGACATATAATGGAATGGAGGAATAGACTGTGAGCCCTATGTGACATATAATGGAATGGAGGAATAGACTGTGAGCCCTATGTGACAAATAATGGAATGAAGGTCTAGACTGTGAGCCCTATGTGACAAATAATGGAATGAAGGTCTAGACTGTGAGCCCTATGTGACAAATAATGGAATGGAGGAATAGACTGTGAGCCCTATGTGACATAATGGAATGGAGGAATAGACTGTGAGCCCTATGTGACAAATAATGGAATGAAGGTCTAGACTGTGAGCCCTATGTGACAAATAATGGAATGAAGGTCTAGACTGTGAGCCCTATGTGACAAATAATGGAATGGAGGTCTAGACTGTGAGCCCTATGTGACATATAATGGAATGAAGGTCTAGACTGTGAGCCCTATGTGACAAATAATGGAATGAAGGTCTAGACTGTGTACCCTATGTGACAAATAATGGAATGGAGGAATAGACTGTGAGCCCTATGTGACATATAATGGAATGGAGGAATAGACTGTAAGCCCTATGTGACAAATAATGGAATGGATGAATAGACTGTGAGCACTATGTGACATATAATGGAATGGAGGAATAGACTGTGAGCCCTATGTGACATATAATGGAATGGAGGAATAGACTGTAAGCCCTATGTGACAAATAATGGAATGAAGGTCTAGACTGTGAGCCCTATGTGACAAATAATGGAATGAAGGTCTAGACTGTGAGCCCTATGTGACAAATAATGGAATGGAGGTCTAGACTGTGAGCCCTATGTGACATATAATGGAATGGAGGAATAGACTGTGAGCCCTATGTGACAAATAATGGAATGGAGGAATAGACTGTGAGCCCTATGTGACATATAATGGAATGGAGGAATAGAATGTGAGCCCTATGTGACATATAATGGAATGGAGGAATAGACTGTGAGCCCTATGTGACAAATAATGGAATGGAGGAATAGACTGTGAGCCCTATGTGACAAATAATGGAATGGATGAATAGACTGTGAGCCCTATGTGACAAATAATGGAATGGAGGTCTAGACTGTGAGCCCTATGTGACAAATAATGGCACAACAGGATCATGAATGAAAATAAAATAAAGCAATAATAAATTGCATTTATTTTATGTATTGCCTTTTGAAATGCTGTTAGAGGCATGGTCATTAGTATGCTACAAATCTATGTTATAATTTTGGTCAAATATAAAGATAATATGATTGTCCCAGATTGCATTGCAGAAACAACCCTAACAGCCCTTGGCTGTTGTGTGGTTTTTCTAGGCAAATTTACGTCCAGTAGTTTGCCATTGCTTTCTGGACGGTCGGCTTTCTTGAAACCACTGTCGAAACCAACGCAAGGCGCATGGCCTGCAGCTGGGATCGAACCAGGCATCCGGGCATTATGAAGTGTTCATGTCAACTTAGCCACAGAGCTGACCCAAGTTGCATATTGCGTATTAACACAACCTCAAAATATCCTTGCTCATCAGTTATTTGAGTACAGAACTATGTTAACAATTTATTTCTAATATGACAAATTAGTTGACATGACAGCATCAGATTAGTTGAAACTCAGAGGCACGGTTAGTAAGTAAGCTTGTACTTTACTGCAACAATATAAAAAGTAAAGATATTTTGACTAGAAGGATTTCCCTAGATGTGAACAAATCAAAATAGCTATTGTAACAGTCAGTTGTATAAACTGGAATGCTAGTTTTGTAGTGCGAACTATTGGCAGTGACAGATCTGAATCACATACGTTTTACGGCGTTATGGATTTACAGCCACCAATCAGCAAAAGTACATATATTCTGCAACACTGGCAGAGTACACCTATGAGAAATGCAGTCCTGAATGAATTTTCTTTAGCTGAATGTTTAGAAAATAATGAACAGTTTGGTGATACTGCTTGGTGTTATCCATCACATTGGTGTGCCATCGATGGGATTTGATGACTCCAGAACATTCATCAGTGATTGGAATTGCTACAACTTTTGGCTGTAACTACAGCTGTTTCAACAGCAGTGGGTGTATTCCAGTGATGGTACTATGTCATTATTGGATATTGTGAAGGGACTGGAGCTCAGTGTTGGACAGTTTGCTAGAAACTGGACAAAAAATGCTCCACAGCAAGCCACAGATGCCACACAGGAAGCCACAGATGCCACACAGCAAGCCACAGATGCCACACAGCAAGCCACAGATGCCACACAGGAAGCCACAGATGCCACACAGGAAGCCAGAGTAGGAGGAAGAGTAGACTTACTAAAGATGACAAGCAGGCCTATTAGAAGGGATCATCGAATGTACCTGGATCTCATTCAAGCCTAGTGAGTACAATTTTCATATTTCGGAATATTTTTCCAGAATTTACTGGTTGTAACTGGTTATTTTTAGATATTTTCTAAACTGCTCGAGATAAGTTAATAAACAATGGTACCCAGCCTTAGACAAAGAAGATGAGAAATATTGACATCTTAAAAGATCTGAACATCAAGAAAGATTGGCTAATAAACAGCATCCTTTCTCAAAAGCAAAATATTTTGGTCATATCAAGCGCCATGATGGATTGGAAAAAATTATAGCAGAAGGCATGGTACCAGGAAGGAGGGGCAGGGGCTGACCAATACAAAGATGGGCACAGGACATAAGTGACTCCTTGAATGTGAAAATGCATGAGGCGGGAGAACTGGCGAGAGACCGAGTTTCTTTCAGGCAGACTGTGATGAGAGCGACTTTCTGCAAAGGACCTGCTACATGATGATGATGACCCAGCCTTAGAACAGTAACAGCTAGGTCACCCACCACCAGCTTTGAGAAACACCACCTAATGTAAGTTGAGTTATGAGTATTTTAATTTGATAGTCTGCTTATCATTTCAGCCTCAGTTTGAGATCTTCATAACGTTAAGAGTATTACTGTTACAGACACACTAGAGGTAGGGGATCTTACTGTAATATTGAAATGCATTAACTCTAAAACTCAGGTTAGTTCAGAAATTATCTTTCTGAAACCAAAATATATTTTTTCTTCAGTTTTATAGCATTTTTTAAATTTAATATTAATTTTACAAGTTTGAACACATTTAGAACAAAACAAATAATACATTAGTGAACTGTTAAGTATCAAGCGCCTGCTCCTCACCAAATTTCAAGACAATATTTTAATATTTAGTTGGTCATTCATTAAAAACAAAATGGTACCCGAGTGCAGGTAGGACTGCCCCCTTAACTAATTTGTCTAATAAATTTAACTTGTGAACACTATATTGTTTTAATATAAATTAAAATGTATTTATAATATAACAATTTCAGTTCCAGCAAGCAATTCTCAAATTTATATATTTAATGTCTGAAAATGAGCTCATCAACGAACATTAAATCTCCCCCCGACACTTCGATGAGGTACAAGGTGGAAGAGAAGAAGAAGAAGAAGAAGAAGAAGAAGAAGAATGTCTGAAAATATTAACTGTTACATTTTAACTTACAATTATTTTCCAACACAGCAACCTCAATTAGATCAAGCATTTTGTTATGAATTTGACATTTGAAAATTAAATTGTTATGATTTAACTTACAAGCATTGATCTCTCAAAGTAAATGAATCAGCAACTGTTGAAAATATCGGGAGGTTTGCGAAACAGGAGAAAGCCGTACCAATGGCACAAACACGATCTCCTCCTCTGATGGATGGGCACAGAAGAGGTTCCGGGTTGACAAAATCTTTACACATGTCATCCAGTGCATCAGATATTTCCTGATGAGAAAAGTTATTTGCATCAGATTCATGAAATATAACATTATATAATAGTACATAAAGTATATTTTCTCTTTTAGCATTCACCGGCTGTAAACTCCAGTTGAAGGTTCTGTTTATTCATCCACTTCTGGACTCTGGTGTTGTTCCAGAACTTGAGTTTTGCATGCAGTTTCATTTTACAGATTTTACCTATTTGAATGCAGACTGTCGGTTCCTTCCCTTTCAGTCAAATGCACTCCGACTTAGAAGGAAATACACCTAATTAGCTGCCTTTCACAACATGTTTGCTGAGGAGGTGGGGTAGAGGGTCAGCAGTGGGCCTATTCCCTTCACCCTTTATTCCCCAAAATGGGGCCTCAGAACCTACAACGGGAGCATACATAATATAAAAGTAATAAGTATAGTTAAATACAGTATAAATTTATAACAGATGTCAGATAATACCAATACAATACAATGCAGCTCTTTGCCTGAGTATGTTGTAGTTACAGCATGATCTTCAAATAGTCACCCTCTGATGTGTACATTTATAGCCTTGGTCTTGGTTTTCAAGCAATGTAAAGGCCACCATCTGAGCAAGAATGGATGCATATACCAGTCTCATAGTATATATCAGTCTCCTCCTCTCAAAGTATATATCAGTCTCCTCCTCTCAAAGTATATACCAGTCTCATCCTCTCAAAGTATATATCAGTCTCCTCCTCTCAAAGTATATATCAGTCTCCTCCTCTCAAAGTATATATCAGTCTCCTCCTCTCAAAGTATATATCAGTCTCCTCCTCTCAAAGTATATATCAGTCTCCTCCTCTCAAAGTATATATCAGTCTCCTCCCCTCAAAGTATATATGCAACAGAAATCAAATGGGCCAAATTTATCGCAGCACCCTCTTCAAATGAGAATCACTGCAATGCAGTGCATGTGCATCAAAACAATAACTCTTTGAGTCCCAAGGAACGCATCATACGTTCATAGGTTCCTACCTAGAAGCCCAATAAACACATGATGCGCCGATTTTATTACTTTATTTACTACCCCCTGGGCCTGTGATGCTAAACCCCCTGGGACTCAAAGAGTTAAAGTGGCTTAATAGGCTTGTGTCTAAGTTGACCACTGTCTCCTATTCTCTTCAGTGTGTTCACATCATGAGGCACAAGTGAACAGATAGTAGACCTGGGCAGAATAGTATTTTTGTGTACTGATGAGGAAGAAACTGGAATGAAATTACAAAAATGCACAGCATGAACTAGGCAGATGCAGTTAGTGGGATCAAAAATCAAGAGCACAGGTAAACCTAGCTAGGCAGATGCAGTAAATGGGATCAAAAATCAAGAGCACAGGTAAACCCAACTAGGCAGATGCAGTAAGTGGGACCAAAAATCAAGAGCACAGGTAAACCAAACTAGGCAGATGCAGTAAGTGGGACCAAAAATCAAGAGCACAGGTAAACCCAACTAGGCAGATACAGTAAGAAGGAACAAAAATCAAGAGCACAGGTAAACCCAGCTAGGCAGATGCAGTAAATGGGATCAAAAATCAAGAGCACAGGTAAACCCAGCAAAGGTCTCCTCCTTGAATACCCACATTATCGATACACTAATGTCAGTCTTCAGTATTTAGATCAGCTTTCATATTTAAAAGAAATCAAAATCTACACAGATGGGTCCATGGTGTGCATCAGCATGGGTATACACAGTGACAGGATCGGAAAAGCAATAAAAGAGGATAGTGGCACTTACTAAGCAACTATCTCAGCCATGACCATGGAGATTTTTGCTGCTTTTAGAGGACTCACAAAGGTAGCAGAACAAGTGGCTACAAATGCAGTCATTATTTCAGACTCCCTTAACACATTTAAAAAAAACATTGCAACATAAAATTAACACTCTGAGTGGATAGAATGCTTTCAGAAGTGACAATCAAGCTCCATCACATGGGTCTACACACTCAAGCATGCAGGTGTAAAAGGTAATGAATGAGCTGAACAGCTGAGAAGTAATGCTCAAATGCATATGGAAAGAAGCATGAACAGAACTGTTATCATAAATGTGCGTGACTAGGCCAGTGGATAATAATGAAACTGATGCTAACACAATTGCGTGTTCTGGGAGTAAACCTTGGTGAAACATGTCTATGCCATCTTTGAGGACCAGATAGGAGACACTATGACTAGCTTCTCATGGGAACAATCAGTAGCGGTACCTGGGAGTGGCTGCTACATCAGAGGACTGAGCATGCATGGGAAAGCCCAGTGTGTAATGTCTGATACTATCACACAACATCTCTTGAGAACATGAATTTTGGATGATTCTTTGGACCAATATAACATGTTTCAAAAGGAGCGAGAAGTATTTTCCAAAGAATAAAAGGACCATTACAATCTTGTTTTACTCAGCTCTTGCTTACGAACTTCTGAGGTGATACATAATCACAATTAATTTTGCCTCTCATGCCTGTGTGGAATGACTTAGTGATGCTCAAATTCTTCATGCATTATAATCTACATCTCTAGGATCCAAATTTTAGTAGCCACAAACTACAAGTTAGTATTCACCCTGACCTAGATTGTAGTTATTATTTATTCAATAATCTGTCTAATGTTTTCCACTTGTTCATCGTTCAAAATTGTACATTTGAAATATGAAGTCACTAAACTGTATTCGTAATTCTCATTGCTGTCAATGAAGAAAAAAATTGTTGCGTATTCATTAGAGGACATTTCAGAACCAATTCCAGTATTTTTGCTGTCGCTGTTTGTGATTTCATTAGGCAGTGTTAATGTTCAGTAGTTTGCCTCTGCTTTCTAAATGGTTGGCTTTTGATACCGTTGTTGAAACCAATGCAAGAGGGTTTGCTGCTAAATCACCATCAGCTGGGATTGAACCTGGTCCTCAGAATTCTGAAGCATGTTCACAATACCTAAGCATCAGAAATTACTTTTAATAAAATGATCAAAGAATTATTAAATTAACCAAAATATTTATGATTTCAAAATATGTTTCACTTTAAAATTTTCTAATATTACATAGTGATTTTCAGAGACACAGATGTACTAAAATTCATTACCTTGAATTCATCTCTGACAGGTTTACCCATTTCAGCACTGCAGGTAGACAGGTAGCTATTGAGACATGCTTGAGCATCCAGTCGTGCACTGAAATAGTATAAAGGCCATTTATATTTTAACTCTTCACTTTCTTAAAGCACACTTCAAAATGAGTCTAAACAAAAATGACTATACAGAAAGAAACTCGGTCCCTCACCAGACCTTCCACCTCTTGCTAGTATCTGCCCGAGGTCTCTCTTGATTCTGGTTGACCCCTTGCCACTCTTACCGGTACCATGCTCTACTATTCTTTATAATCAACAGCAGCAGTTTCTTTGACTTCCATGATGGGTTTCTTTCTCCATCAGCATTTCAATCCCTTGAGGTTCACTGCTGCTAACATCAACCACCTCCATTCCCCTCGGCATTGTCTTTCCATTTAGTGACTGACATAAACAGAATGTACAATTTACTGCTTGCCATATTCAACTGTACCTCATCAGGAACATATAACTGAGTAAAGTTAACATACAAAAAAGCACAAAAATGAATCTTATAAGCAGAAACGTACAGCAACATACTCCATTGCATCAATGTGCATGTTAACATGGAAGATAACTGCACAAATCAAACTATGACTGTCAATCTGCAATTATGACCTTACAACAACAACAAAACCAGTCAAAAGGGTTGAGATCAGACAAGACTATTATGCAAAAAGCCAAAGAAAAATTAACCAAAACAGAACAGTTGTCATCAGCCACTACATACACTGGACTAAATGGCTAATGTAAAGTGAGTAAAAGTACAGTTTTTTTTCAGGCGTTTTGGGCTAAACCTAAATTTTTTTATACAAATTAGCACATGGTGGTTGATATGGTCAACATCACATCAGCCGCCTTTACTTTCCAGGACTGCACCTGATACCCATTTAAGGATGGGTCACTTGGGAGCCAAGAACATTTCTGACAAAAGCCCGGATCCACCAGGACCACAAACCAGAAAATGGTTAATGTTTATGAGGATAATTTATCCACTAATATGTCTTTCTCTGTGTAATATGAGGGATTCATCATGAATAAAAGTGACACATGTGCATCTGAACTTACAGAGATAATAATAAACTACTCACAGGCATACGTCATCAATGCTTCTGTTAGCATGATATATTTTTGTCATGAGGGGGTTTTTACACAAATAAGCTTCCGAGACCAAGCAGACATTAGGTTTTCCACAAACATCAAGTGCCGCAAAGGCTGTGGATATTTCTGAGCCAATTTGCATGAATTTATTTTTATCTTCTGGAGAACAGCTGGACACGGCATCCTTGAGGCAGACATCCATGTAGTTTATATTCCAGTTACTGCAATAAAAACATCATTTGTAAACATCATTTACATTTCAGAAACAGGTTTGGCACATAATGAAGTAGGCATAGCTGCAATAATACCTACTCTACCGTGCAGTATAACTGATATTAGACATAATTAGAATATGCTTACTCTACTTAATGGTATGATGGATAGTAGACAAGGTTAGAGTTATGATAGGACTGCTCCATGCAGCTCTGGACCTTAGAAATTAGTGAATGCAGTTAACAGGATCCTTGAGAATCAGTGTTAGTCACTTGCGATGGACGGTTTTAAAAAAAAAAAACCCAAAAATTTTCATAATTGTCAGACAGTGGTACAAGCGTTGTGCCATGGAAGGCATTGGAGCCTTACCAAATAAAATTCCTAAAGGCAACATGGGTACACTGTTGCCAACCTTCATTGTGGAGATGGCACACAATTGTTCTCTAGGACTACATTTTGTATGTGCAACTTTGTGACTATCCCTGGTTATCATTGCTGGAGCTATGGATTGACTGCTTTGTGTGATGAGCTCCACAGGCAGCTAGAATTCTGTAAAGAAAGACCAAGCCATATGGGATTCTTCTGTTTTTTTTTTTTTTATTTTCTTTTCTTTTTTAGGATTCATTCTTTGAGATACACCAACAGATGAAAATTGACCTTTGGGGGGCGGGGGCGGGAGGGGGGTTACCCTTTAGTTCCATTCATTTCTGAGTATGGTGCTGACTTATTAGGTCAGTATTCCCTTCTTAATGGACCATACAAGAGACAGTCATTCGAGACATTTTCTGTGGTTTGTAGTCACAGTGAGCTACTCAAAAAAAAAGCCTGGACATACACTTACTAAGTTTTCTATGTCCTATTCCATATGAGATATAAATCTGGTTCAATGAAGTCAATCCACTTATCTTCAAATTGCCAAACTACACATGCACATGTTAGTCTTATTAACAACACTGTAAATTCACAGTAATTATAGTAAAATATAATTCTACACATTTTTAAAAAAATGTGCAAGTTTAATAATATTTAATAACAGCATTCTTAAATTCACGGACTTACCTGCAGATCATATCGATAACATCCAAAGAAAGCGTCTTGATCAAAACCATCTGCAGCATTTGTTGTCCAATGCAAGCTTTTGCACGTGTTAAGTAACAGCTGTCTTTATCTAGCATCACAAAAAGATATCAGTTAGGCCATTTTATTTTTATGCATGCTGTTAAATTGACATTCAGCAGAGTGTTCTGCATTGGTTTTCAAAATGGTAAAGAATGTCGACCATTCAAGAATTAATGGCAAACTACAGAATTTAAAACTTCTAAACAAACACAATAAAGAACCAGTTTTTAAAAAAAGACTGGGGTTTATTTGCAAAATCATGGAAAAGACTAACTGATAGTGAAATAATAATACTAAATTTTTTTTTATTGGTCATAAATTAAAATATTTATAGTGTACAACTAAGTTGTAAAGTGGCATGGATGATCTACTGTGAAGTGGCATGGATGATCTACTGTGAAGTGGCAGGGATGATCTACTGTGAAGTGGCAGGGATGATCTACTGTGAAGTGGCAGGGATGATCTACTGTAAAGTGGCATGTATGATCTACTGTAAAGTGGCATGGATGATCTACTGTAAAGTGACAGGGATGATTTACTGTGAAGTAGCATGGATGATCTACTGTGAAGTGACAGGGATGATCTACTGTGAAGTGGCATGGATGATCTACTGTGAAGTGGCAGGGATGATCTACTGTAAAGTGGCATGGATGATCTATTGTGAAGTGGCATGGATGATCTACTGTAAAGTGGCATGGATGATCTACTGTAAAGTGGCATGGATGATCTACTATGAAGTGGCATGGATGATCTACTGTGAAGTGACAGGGATGATCTACTGTGAAGCATGGATGATCTACTGTGAAGTGGCATGTATGATCTACTGTAAAGTGGCATGTATGATCTACTGTGAAGTGGCATGGATGATCTACTGTGAAGTGGCATGGATGATCTACTGTGAAGTGGCATGGATGATCTACTGTAAAGTGACATGGATAATCTACTGTAAAGTGGCATGGATGATCTACTGTAAAGTGGCATGGATGATCTACTGTGAAGTGGCATGGATGATCTACTGTGAAGTGACAGGGATGATCTACTGTGAAGTGACAGGGATGATCTACTGTGAAGTGGCATGTATGATCTACTGTAAAGTGGTATGGATGGTCTACTGTGAAGTGGCATGGATGATCTACTGTGAAGTGGCATGGATTATCTGCTGTAAATTGGCATGAATGATCTACTGTAAAGTGACAGGGATGATCTACTGTGAAGTGGCAGGGATGATCTACTGTGAAGTGGCATGGATGATCTACTGTGAAGTGGCAGGGATGATCTACTGTGAAGTGGCATGGATGATCTAGTGTGAAGTGGCATGGATTATCTGCTGTAAATTGGCATGAATGATCTACTGTAAAGTGACAGGGATGATCTACTGTGAAGTGGCAGGGATGATCTACTGTGAAGTGGCATGGATGATCTACTGTAAAGTGGCAGGGATGATCTACTGTGAAGTGGCATGGATGATCTACTGTAAAGTGACAGGGATGATCTACTGTAAAGTGGCATTGATGATCTACTGTGAAGTGGCATGGATGATCTACTGTGAAGTGGCAAGGATGATCTACTGTGAAGTGGCATGGATGATCTACTGTGAAGTGGCATGGATGATCTACTGTGAAGTGGCATGGATGATCTACTGTAAAGTGGCATGGACGATCTACTGTGAAGTAGCATTGATGATCTATTGTAAAGTGGCATGGATGATCTACATGCACAATTTTTCAAGAACACAGAAAGCAAACGACTAAAAGGGAACAGGATTGCTTACATTTTTTGGTCTCACATATATTGATAATGACCATTTAATTATTTCACAATACTGTGTACTGTAAAACCTTGTAAACACAAATAAGCTAAAGCATAAAATTTAGATAACATGAACATAATTTTAGTTCCAGCAGGGATGTATTATTGTTATTAGTCCCAAGTAAGCACAATTTCTGTTGACACTGACTTGATTTTCGGTCCACTGGAATTTGTGTTAGTGAGGTTATGACGAGTGCATGCTACTGGGAGACATTTCCAGACAATGAACTGAGGGTTTCTCGGCAAAAGAGAAAATTGGCAAGAGGACAAATATTGCTGTTAACCACTCTATGTGCCACCCTGACCAAGGGTGTGAGTCATGGGCAATGACAACAGGTCACAGAAATTAGTTTCAGGCTTCAGACATGAGATATCTGGGAAAGGTGGTCCAAGTGACAACAAGGGACACAGTTCACAATCAAACAATATGTCAGGAACTTGAAACCCAGGCCTTACAAACTTGAGTGTATTAGTCTAGTTACGATGGTGTGGACATGTATATGGGCAAGAAGTGGCCACTATAGCAGGAATGGGACACCAAGAACCACGGATTCTGACCTAGGGTTCGCTGAGAAGACAAAATACAAGTTCCTGACTGACAGAGGACTAGATGGTGATTTTTGTGGCAAACCTGTACACCCCAGGTAAAAGAGGATCACTTAAGTAAAGTAAAAAATGTTTTAATGTATATCTTATGTTAATGTTGTGAAATTCTCATAAATGACCTTAGTTCGCAGGTCGACACAGATTTAAATGAGTACCAAGAAATATCCTTAAAAAAAAACAATGACAGTAGGCACATCATCCATGAAGTCCAAATTGGTCTATTTAAAATATGTCTACATTTATATGCCTTTTACTTTGTATGCCTTTTTATGTTAATGTGAAACTTTATTATATAGACAGATGGTACACAAATTAATTATAATTCACTGTGGTAGACTGTCATACTCACCCATGTAGGGAGGGTCTGTAAAAAAAAATTAGATACAGATTACATCAAGTGGATTATATATGTACATACATCATAAATTATTTAAAACTGACATTCAGCTCTTTTAGTCCCAGGCAACCCGTGGTGTGTAAATGACTTTACCCCTTGCTTTCACTTCATAGCATAATGTGCTAATTTATATTTTCATATCTAAAAAAAATATTTTGTCACAAAATACCAAAGAAATCTGGCTTCTCCAAACAGTCACTACAACTATGTATACAGCCACTTTAAATGTAATTAATTCACAATTTTTCATTATGGTTTTGTTTCTCAATTCCCTCTATCTCCCATTAAAACTTATGGTGCCGAAAGAGTTGAACAGTTATATGTATTTCACATGCATTTAACTTAAATAAGACATCTCTTTCAATACAGTTAATAGAGTTGTAGTTATAGTTAACATGATTACCCATATAATGGTACACCATAGCATGAACAAAAGGGGTGTTTAAAGAGAAGACTAAGGCAGGATCGATTTCAGACATTCCAAAAATGCAGGTATAAAAAAATTACTCCATCCTTCTCCTCTTTTAATGGAGATAAGTTCAACCTAATTATGCCCTTCTTTAAATGGTCAGTCAGCCTGTCACGTCAGCTAAAATTTTTTTTAAGATTCATTATACATAGTTGTCATGTGTAAGAACTGCCTTATGCATTTACTGCATGCACATACTTATGGGTTGTGCCAGGACTAACTGCTTGTTCACCAATTTTTCAAATGGGACAGTGAGGGACATTCCATTTGATTTTTACTTGCACAGGAATGAAGGAAGTATGTGGTGATCCGATTGCAGTGAGGCTGAAACCTTGACTAAGACTAAGTATAAGAATCCACTTCAGGGCACAATTTGTTTTAAAAAATATTTTACCACAGTTTTCAGATCAACCCAGTCTTAAAATATATACCAGGAAATTTTCTGGAAAATGGAGGAATCTGTATTAAATTGACCATTTCACCCATCAAGGGCAGATTGGTCAAAAAATATCAGGTTACTACAATATACTAGATGTAATTTCTGGCAAGAAAAATTGTCCTGAACCATACGTGTAAGTAACTGTAAGGCTTATGTAGTCTGCTGGAATAAAACCATCTAACATGGTTGGGGAATAAAAACCACAAGACAATCTTGCCTTCATCTTCTCTTTAAATACCCCTTCTATTCATGTTATGCTGTACCATTGTAGAGGTAATCATGTTAACTGTAACTAAACTCCATTAACTATACTGAAAGATATATCTATTTAAAAAAAAAAATTTCACCTCCGGATCATTGTAACTGTAAAGGTTTTTATCCCAAGAAAATGTTACAGTCAGTAATAATGGCTTTCTTTAAAGGCTGGAACACACACAAAATTGGTCAAAGTAGAGAATGCCAGATTAAAAAATAAATCTTCAAAGGAGATCCAATAGTACAAGTATGGAACAGAAAATAGAGTAGTGAATGTGACAGAGTAGGATAATAGTTTGACTTAATGGAACTTTATGTAAGAATTACTCAGTAAATAAATCGTGAGGTTTTTCACTGCAGAGTTTGTAGAATTTCATTGTTTATACTACCTTTCATTTAATAAAAATTTTAATAAATGAGACTTACCTGTCTGGTTGTTGTACTCAACAGGTTTCACTGTTAGAAAGAAGAGAATCTGTCATTGATATATCAAAAATGCAAAAAATAACTAATAATCAAGTAGTTTCTGCACACTAAATGCTATCTATACGTTAGCTGTAATCGCAAAGTAAAGATCAGAGCAGGCATTTGGTCTTGGCATGCTCTTTTATTAGGGCTGTACCAAATATTCACTTCGTATTCGCTTAGGGGCCAAATAGTGGACCTTATAACTATTCGGTATTCGGCTGAATCGTTGCGGTCAGGCGGAATACGAATAGTAGTTACCTTACACCCGTTTCTGCATTCACTGCGACAGACTGAAATAACTCTCGTAATAACACAATAGTTGTTGTTGCCTAAGTCCGTCGTAGCGGGGGCAACTGCGACCCGTTTGCTTGGTACGGCATCCAGTTTTAACATATGGCTGTGAGTCCTGGACAATCGGTTGGCAAGCCAAACAATTTCTTGAGGCCTCAAAGATGTGGTTGTACAGATCAATGATTGAAATACCTTGGACAGCCAAACAAAAGCAACCAAGAGGTTTTGAAAGAGGCGGGAGCCCGAAGACAACTAATCACAGACATCAGAAGGAGACAGTCATTATTTTTTAGCGATGTTATGAGAAGAGGGAAAATGGAACATATGGTGACCACTGGAAAGATCTGTGGAAGGAGGGATAGAGGAAGACAATGAAAGAAGATTCTTGACAGTTTTGTTGCATGGCATGGAAGTGTTTCACACGAACTAGTACATGCTGCATGAGATCGCAGATTGTGGCAAGGCCAACGCCAGTTGGCAAGGTACCTGATGATGATGATACACTATTCGTATTTGTATTCGGCCGAATAATTGGTACCGCTATTCGTATTCGGCCGAATAGTGAAAATCCCTATTCGGTACAGCCCTACTTGTTATGTAATATTTTGCTTGCATTTGTTAACAGTGATTGTCACTGCACATTAGGCATTCCTATGCATGCTCAGTGATGCAGCAGTTACCTCTAAGTACCTTTACTGACTGATCCCATGAGAAAATGATTCCATGTCTTCTACCCTGAATTTAAAGAGAACACTGCTGCATGTTGAATGTTCTAATGTTGAATTAAGAATTGACATCATAGCACTCGGGCACCCTTATAAGTGCTCCATCTCTATCTTCAGCAGCAAGAGAAGAGTTAAAATTCTGATAGTACCTGTAACTGTCTGATTGTATATCCGCCTCACTTTCCCCTGAGTGTCAAGCATCAGCCAGATTCCCTTGTAACTCTTCGCAGTGCCATTCTCCTCAGACTGCATTGATTTATCTGTGCCTATGCACTGTTCACTCGCTCCCAAAGGGACATCACAATATCTAACTTGTCATACATCAGTTCACCACCAAGTGGTGCAGAGCTGGCCAACCTATCTGCCTGCTTATTTCCCAACACACCTGCATATCTGGAGAAAATATCCAAAGGATGCTAACTACCTGGAACCTTTAAAGTGATGCTAGCCACTCTGCACAGAGCATTCCTGTCTCCACCTTTCTCAACATGCTCTGTGAGTTTGTTACAATGACGGCATGAGTGCATGTTCTAAGAAAGTAAATGAACCCGATCAATAAGCCATAAATTATTTGGAAGTCTTCACTTGTGTGTTCGTATTTTACTGCATGTTCTCTAGCCTTTTGTTAATGGCAGTTAGGCATAAAGCATGTTTTCTAATAGTGCTGTTTTTAAGATAACAATGAACAACAAAATTATATACAGAACCCCTGAAACTGTTCAGAGAAAGACCTTATGATTATAGAGAAGTCTGATGTTTTTTCCTTCATTCAATTGCCTACAAGTGAATACATTGTAAAAGTATCAACATTTCTGTTTTCCTAAGATTTTTGTTTGTAAGTAAACTCAATCAATAATTCTAAAAACCTTTATTCACAACGTCAGTTCAGAACATTAGAAAGATAATGCTGATATGATGAACAGTTTTTAAAATATTAAAAACTAATTACTATGATCAAGAGTATAATCACAGTTGGGAGGAACTGAGGATGGTCACAAGTGCTGTGGAGGTAATGCTTTGTGTGATACTCTCAGCAAGTGGCTGGCCTACAGAAAGAGACTGAGACACACAGGAAAAAACATCTGATGCAATGAAGTCGGTCCTCTTGACTTTCAGCCCACATATGCAGTTAAGTGAAATTATTAAATCTTAAGCATAATGTCAGTGGGATTGTTTACATGCAGCAGTCTCATG